TGAATGGAGTAATTGAATAGTGAAATAATTGAATAGCTTCTTCTATTCTGTTGCAATATCCTATTTGCTATTTCCACCCTCAAAGTGTTGAGGGCAATCAGCAAATTTCCGGATTCAATTGGTGTGTAGTTGAAATTGTGGGGATTTTTGCCTCACGACTGATGGAAATGAGCTGATTTAGGGGACTAGCCCAAATGTCAATCAGCCGACTATGCTGTCTACTGTTCACAGTTTTTCTAATGACATATTTCGCGGTTCCATTTGTACTGGAATGCTGATAGTGCATTAGTTGATAAATTACATTCTGAAAGAGATTTAATCAGTCAAACAAGCGACAAGAGGCCATTGCCAAATATCCGGACTGCTGAGCATTCTGGCAGTCTGCAAGCCTCTGCAGCTGTTGGTGACAAATGCTTTTTTCACAGTTGCTCCAGAGATCCCACTGCAGCCGGCACACAAAGCCGCTGAAATGGGCAAATTGCGCGTCATCAAGCATGAACGGTTTTGATATCGATGAAGTCCTCCCATGCGACGGGCTGCAGTTTCGCTGTAGCAACAGAGAAGGTGAAAACTGTTTTTGTGTGGGGAAAATAATTCCCAATTGTTGAGCTTACTTCCATTTCGAGTGAAAGTGTTAGGTGAAGAGATTCGCAGGTCGGTTCCACCGGAAAACGACGGCCGATTCCTCTTGACCAGCTGTCGATTGGCTTTACTGGAAGACACATGCTGATCCTGTTTCCGTGGCAATCTCACTCTATTTCGGTGAAAAGGTGGTAAGCTTTCGTCCGTCATGTGATGAATACCATCAGAGCAATGAGTGTATCATCGTCACAACCAAATTCAAGCTAACGAGTCAAGAAAAATCACCGGCAAATTCCTAAAAAGTGGCCGCTTTGATCAAGTATAAAGTGATTTGGTTAGGTAAGGTCATCAAAAAAACATAACATCAATTCTTGATTGCCAAAAACGTTTTTTTTTGCTGTCCTAATTACTTTTAGCTATCACTGCGGGTTTCGTGAATAAGCAAACACAAACAGGCACATACACATACACATACAGAAATAGACACACTCACATGCGTCGAAGTTGACATATGACCTTAACTGTCCAAATCACTTTATACTTGATTAAAGAGACCAGATGTAGAGTAGATATACCAATTTTTAGGGATTTTCCGGTGAGTTTTCTTGACTCGTTAGCTTAAATTTGGTTGTGACGATGGTATCCTCCTTGCTCTGATGATGTTTGTCACATGACAGACGAAAGTTTAGCACCTTTTCACCT